CAGACCCTGTGTATCAGGAGAAAGCTCTTGCAGTCCCTGCACTACGCGGTATCACCGCGGTGAATCAAAACAAGCACATGGGGGGTAATTGTTGCTGAGTGTGCTGCTGCTGTTTAAACCATTCTGGCTAACAAGAAACCTCTAGCGCTCCCATTGCTCTTGAGTCAACTTCCAGCGGAATGTTTTGCTAAAAGTCCATTTGACTGCTGGGTGCACCTTTCCGCCTTGCCTTTCCAAGCACCAGTGGTTGCCAAAAGATTAAGTCATGGCTTTCCCCTGAGCCCGTCCTGCAGCAAAGGCATAGCTACTTGTCTGAGAGCTCGTGTTTCGGTGCAATGGACATGGTTGTAAGATGGGTGTCATTGACAGAAACAGAATGCTCCTTATCCTCTGCACATATTTGCTTGGTAGTTGCTGCTATTGAGTGAGGGGAGGGACTGTTGCTAGTTTAAATGAGGATTTGGTAAACTAGACTATATTTCAGAGTTGGCAGGGGAACGGTGGGGCCTCATTAAAAGAGGGCTCTGAGCGTTCCCTGCTTGACTCTCCTCTGACGTACGATGGCAGTGCTGTAGCAGCCCCAGCTCTGTATACATGAAAGCCGCAAGCTCTTGCTGTGCTATTTCCCTTCTGCTGACTACCAAACAGATACGTGCGGTGGGGCTGTGTTGGAGAAAGGGAGTTTCCCTGACTAATCAAATGCAACTTGCTTTTAGTCATTAGTCGCTTGCCTTTGAGAAGCCAAAGGCACCATTGAAAGATCTGAAATCTGAAGCTTATTTATGTCTTGCCCGAAGTGCCTTGTCTAAAGCTCCCAAAGAAAGTGCTAAGTGACAGCTTTGCAGTATATGTCGTTTGGGGAAATGCCTTTTCACAGCTGACCCTCAAAGGTCCACTTTATTTCCCTCCTTTAGAACTAGAAGGAAACATTTGACACGGTGATAATTTTTCCAGACCCACTGTCCTGAATGCTTGTGGGATGAGGGAGTGGCCTGCCACTACAAAGCCAGCAAGCTCTAATCGAAAAGCTTGCTGCTTATGAACCATCTGCCAGAATTCCTTGCAAGAAAGGAAGCTAAAGGATCCATTTGCCTTGTGGCAAGTAACCCGTGCTGCTAGGCAAGAAACTGTGTGAGATTCAGTTCTTGATCTCTTACAATGCGGTACTTCAAACTAAATGCATTCTTTGCTTTGGTCTTCACGGCTGAGGATGTTAGGGAGATTCCCAACTCTGAACCGTTCTTTTTAGGTGACACATCTGAGCAATTGTCACAGATTGAGGTGTGTCTACAGGAGGCTTTAAAACAACTCAATAAACTTAACAATAACAAGTCACCGGGACCAGATGGCATTCAACCAAGAGATCTGAAAGAACTCAAATGTGAAATTGGGGAACTATTAACTGTGGTTTGTAAGCTATCCTTTACATTGTACCTAATGACTGGAAGATAGCTAATGTGATGCCAATATTTAAAAAGGGCTCTAGAGGTGATCCTGGCAATTACAGACCGGTAAGTCTAACGTCAGTACTGGGCAAATTAGTTGCAACTATAGTAAAGAATAAAATTGTCAGACACACAGGTGAACATAATTTGTTGGGGGAAAAGTCAACATGGTTTCTGTAGGGGGAAATCATGCTTTACTAATCTACTAGAGTTCTTTGAGGGGATCAACAAACATGTGGACAAGGGGGATCCAGTAGATATAGTAAACTAAGATTTCCAGAATTCCTTTGACAGGGTCCCTCACCAAAGGGTCTTAAGTAAAGCAAGTTGTCATAGGATAAGAGGGAAGGTCCTCTAATGGATGACAACTGTTTAAAAGATAGGAAACAAAGGGTAGGAATAAATGGTCAGTTTTCAGAATGGAGAGAGGTACCTGGACTAATCTTATTCAGCCTATTTATAAATGATCTGGAGAAAGGGGTAAACAGTAAGGTTGCAAAATTTGCAGATGATACTAAACTGCTCAAGATAGTCAAGACCAAAGCAGACTGTGAAGAGCTTCAAAAAGATTTCACAAAACTAAGTGACTGGACAACAAATGGCAAATGAAATTTAATGTTGATAAATGTAAAATAATGCACACTGGAAAAAATAATCTCAACTATTCATATAATATGGTGGGGACAAATTTAGCTGTAACTACTCGAGAGAGATCTTGGTGTCATCATGGATAGTTCTCTGAAAACATCCACTCAATGTGCAGCGGCAGTCAAAAAAGCAAACACTGTTAAGAATCATTTTAAAAAGGATAGAGAGTAAGACAAAATATCTTATTGCCTCTATATAAAAACATGGTATGCCCACATCTTGAATACTGCACACAAATATGGTTTCCTCATCTCAAAAAAGATTTCTTGGCCTTGGAAAAGGTTCAGAAAAGGGCAACAAAAATGATGAGGGGTTTGGAACGGGTGCCATATGAAGAGATTAAAAAGACTGGGACTTTTCATCTTAGGAAATAGGAGAGTAAGGGGGGATATGATAGAAGTCTATAAAATCATGACTCGTGTGGAAAAAGTGAATAAGGAAAAATTATTTACTTGTTCACATAACATAAAAACTATGGGGTCACCAAATGAAATTAATAGGTAGCAGGTTTAAAACAAACAAAAGGAAGTTTTTCTTCACTCAGCGCACAGTCAACCCGTGGAACTCCTTTCCAGAGGATGTTGTGAAGACCAGGACTTTAACAGGGTTCAAAAAAGAGCTAACTAGATTGATGGAGGTTAGGGGTCCATCAATGGCTATTAGTCAGGATGGGTAGGAATGGTGTCCTTGGCCTCTGTCAGAGTCTGGGAATGGGTGACTGGAGAGGGATTGCTTGATGAATCCCTAGTCTGTTTGCTCTCTATGGGGCATCGGGCATTGGCCACTGTCGGCAGACAGAATACAGGGCTAGATGGACCTTTGGTCTGACCCAGTCTGGTCATTCTTAAGTTCTCAATGTGTACTATCAGGGGCTAGGAGTGCTGAGTATTCATACTCATCACTCAGTGGCCTGCAGCTATATTGCATTATTCTGTGTGCCTATTTGATTTCGTTTAGCAGGGTTTGTTCAGGTCTGCCTTTGGATGACAGACCTCCAAGGAATATACTTGATGCTGCATGAAGTGGTGGGGCTATCAAAAGGTAGCACTCTTCTGTCTGAGTAAGTAGTGAAGGCAGGAAATGGGATGGTCATCCTTTGGGTGAGACAGAAACCAGAGGCCCTGGGCAATGCAGTTGTTATAAAACCCCATGGGCTCTTTCTATGAATGAGGTCATGACATCAGGTCTCGAGTCAGATTCCCGCTCTGCCCACGTTCTGCTTCCTTAAATCCTCCCTGCATTTTGGAGATGGCGGCTTTTTCAATATTATTTCAATATTGCCATGCAGTTTCACCCCATAGGGGTTACTGTTTCAGTTTCCTGTGTAGAAATTGTGGTTCAGTGTAAGGTCCTTTAGGGTGGAAGGCACAGAGTAGAAACAACCTCTAGGGCTACGTCTAGACTACATGGCTCCGTCGACGGAGCCATGTAAAATAGTTTATTCGGCATAGTCAAAGAAGCGGGGATTTAAATAATCCCTGCTTCATTAAAATAAAAATGGCCGCCTCGCTGTGCTGACGATCAGCTGATCCGGCACAGCACGGCAGTCTAGACGCGGATCGGTCGACAAGGGATGCCTTTGTTGACTGCTCCAGTATGCCTCGTGAAACGAGGTTTACCGGAGCGGTTGACAAAGGCTTTCCTTGTCAATCGCGCCGCGTCTAGACTTCCACGCTGTGCCGGATCAGCTGATCACTCAGCACAGCTGAATGTGGAGCTTCACACCTTTTCCAAAGCCTCACGAATCACACAGAAAAAGGCACCAGCCAAATCCCTCCCAGCCTTGTACCTCAGGATTACACTGTCTTGTGCTGCTTGAGAGAAGCAGTGCAGATTTATTAGTTGGTTCACCACTTGATCAGTGGAAAGTGAACGTCCAGCTGCCTTTGTAAACCTGAGCAAATTTACCAAACGTGTCAGTCAAACTCGTGGTAAAGATAAATACAGGTTGAACCTCTAAAATCCAGCTCTCGTCTGGCAGGACCATTGGAATTACTGAACAAGAGAGCCCAGGCTGGCCAGATTCAGAGATGCAGTAGGGGCTGGGCTGGCAGTGGGGAGCATCGCCCTAGCGGGGCCGGTGCAGGGGAGGGGCAATCCAGCCAGGGCTGGCAGCAGGGAGTGCAGCCCCAGGTGGGCCTGGAGGCAGCAGGATGGGCAGCTGGGTACGTAGCCCTTGCCTGTGTGGTGGGGGACACAGCTTAGGCTGGTGCTGGGGTTGTGGTGGGTGCAGCTCAGGCTAGTACTGGCACGGTGCAAGGCTAGAGGCAGTGAGGTATGCAGCAAGGTGCGCAGCCCCGGCCGGGAGCAGTACCTACACCTGGGTGGGGAGCCTTGACCTCCCCTGGTCTGGCAAACTTCCTTGTTCATGACCGCTGAGGTCCCGAGGGTGCCAGACCAGGAGGTCCAACCTGTAGAAATGGAATCACTGTTTTATATTTGAAAATTACATAACCAGAGTGTTTGATCTTGCCGTTCCTCTCGCTCTCTCTTCCCTCCCTCTGCAGTGCCAGTTCTCTACAGGGAAACACAGATCATTATTTCACTAGTGTACACTCGCTCTTGCCTTATTTAGAGTCTTGCTCCCCCTCCCAAGGGACTCTGCTGGATGACTGTGAACCCTTTCTTTCCTGTCTCGATGTGTGGGGAAACTTGTCACTGTGGCAGTTACAATACCACCAGCTTGACACTGTGCCGATGGAAATCACTGCATAATCATGAGTGCCACAGATATCGAGAGCCCGGGTTGATTCTCATTATGCTGCGGCAAAGTTTTTCAATCCGAAAGTTATTTTAACAGCAAAAGCACTGTGATAACCATCTTCCTCGTTCTTTCCACAGAACCTCTGAGAGTCCTGTCATTAAATATTTAATTAGTGTGAATTATTTTTCTTCTGTTCTCCACAGGTTTTGCATGCAGAAGAGTGTCAGATTGGTGCCAGGAGTCACACTGGATTTAATAGAGAAGTAAGCAAGATTTTATGACATTTAATACTCCTCCATTCCTGACTTCCATTATTATAGTTGGTTTGGTGGAGAGGGGAAATGGTTTTTTAATCGTGTTGTCCTCAAGGATCCTTTCATGCTGCTTGTGAGCGTGCTCCTTTTTGGAGTTCTTCTGTTGCCCAGAACTCACTTGGGGGTACCAAGTTTCCCTCTGCTCATTTTTCTTTGACTTCTTTACCCTGTTAGTCCTTTATTTTGTGTTCATTCCCCTGCCTACCATGTGTCTTGCTATATTGTCTTACCATCGACTGGCCGAACAAGCAGTGACTATGAAAGCAAGAATTCATGAAGGAAACTGTTTAAATGGAGCCTAACGTTCAGGGCCATCCTTAGCCGTCTGCAGAATGTGCAGCTGTGTAGAGCAACCGAAATTTGGGGCACAACTGGGTCTTAATGTCCATCCAGCCTCCTCATATCCTTGTTCTGTGGCTCTTCTTCCTCCAGAGAACCTAGTTAACTGGAAAGTGACCCAGGCTGGCAGAACACTCAATGTGTGAAAGAGCCATTCAAGTGGTAACAGCCATTTAACAGGCATGTGCCAACTCCAGGTTTGTACGGCCAGTTTCTGAATGTCCTGTGTTAGCTAACGGGACTTAGTTTAAAATTTGCTTTAAAAGTATTTCGTTAGTCTGTTGCTGAAGATTATAAAATCACATCTCTCAAAAATCTCCCCTGTCCCGGCTGCCATCAGGCATAGGGGCTCCAGTTCAGTAGTCCTACGTAAGGCCCCATGCATCCTAAGGATGGCTCTGCTTATGTTTGCCTCACAGCTTTGCTCAGATCTTTTAACTTGCTGGTCACTTAGGTCTCATTTCTAATATCTTGACCCCAACCTGAAGTCGCTCAGCCCAGACTCCAAACTTCGGTCACCTGTGGCAGTTCGGTGTAGGGAGGCCACATAGCAGGTGTTTTGGGCACACATGGGTAATGTCAAAGACCTTGTCTGTGGGAATTGATGGAGATAGTAGGTAATGCTCATAGCCTTTCATTTCTGGCGTTACAGCTTCACATGCCTTAAAGTCACATGGGAAATGAGTTTAATGCCTATGTCCTAGTTGACCTAAAGCCATGTGGCAAACGCCTCTGCTTAGGCTAGGCAGAGACTGCTCTAGTAGAGACTGTCCAAAATCAGGCAGGGTATACTGAAGCTGGACGTTTATTTCAGAATAAGTTATTCTGGAAAATATATTCTGAAATAGCTTATTTCGAAATAGAGCATCCACGCTACAGGGGAGCCTCAAAATCAGTCTGAGGCAGGCTATCCTAATGTGGATGCGCTACCTTGATTTAGAGCCACAGGGAGCACTGGGGAGAAATTATTTAGAATGGCCCTGGGGGGCAGCTATTTCGAAATGGCAGCAGTGGAGCATCCACACTGCAGCTATTTCGAAATAGCTATTTTGGAATAGGTGTTATTCCTCCTAGAATGAGGTTTACAGAAGTTGGAATAAGCTGCCCGTTATTTCGATATTATTTTGAAAGAATGGAATGGCTGTGTAGACGCTCGCATTGTTATTTCGGAATCACACTAGTTAATCCGAAATAATGGTGCAGTGTGGACGGACCGCAATGAGGTGCATTAGGCGTACTATATGGCAGCTCCCGCAGCTCTGCAGTTTAGAGGCATTAGCAGGGGAGGGACTGGAATAGCAGGGAGCATGGCAGACCGGGGTGAGAAGCACTAGCAGCGCTGTTTTTGGTGGCACAGTGCTGGAACTCAGTAGGGGATGTGCTCCCAATACTTGCCTGAGGTCTGTTCATCTCTAGTCCCAGCTGTCGCTTGCTCTTTCCTGAGCCATAAAATCCGTTCAGTCCCCTGAGTCTCTAGCTGCGTGTGCATGCCCGTGGGTGTGTAAAATGAGGAAAACAAAGCCTGCTTTGTCACGTCTCGTGTCCTCTCTCATAATGGAGCTAGGTTTTGGTCTTTAACGGCCTGGGTACCCATTGCAATCCTTTCATTCAGGCCATACTTGACCATGACTAGTGGCTAATGGATAGCCCAAGGCAAAATGATGGACAAAGCAAACATAGTCCAGGTTATGCAGGTCACCCAAGCTATTGAAAAACTAAATCATAATTCATCCCCTGCAGTCTTTGTTTCCAAAGAGTTTTTCTAGGAAAGTATCAGGCGAGGCAGGATGTGTTTGTGGGGGTGGTGTCTGAAATCTGCGCCATGTGGTTAGTGTTTCCAAGCTTCTGATTCTTAGAACATTATTGTGTACCCAAGTTAAATTAACTGGGAACAATTAATAGCAGATCGTTCCGATTCTGAGATGTTTACCTTGAGAAAAGCTCATTGTCAAGATTAATTAGAATAAGCCCCAAACTCGAAGGTCTGACATGTGACTGTCCAGAGCCAGTTATCCTCTCTCCGTTCCCCAGGGTGTGAGTCATTCATCCTTTGGGACAGGTGTTCTCTGCTGTGTGCAGAGGAGGTGGGTGGGGTATTCAGTTGAGGGGAGATAGCATCGAAGTTTTTAATGTATTATTTCTTGCTTTTAAAACTAGGTTTCTGTAGAATAGAGTGACTTGTCGCTGTACTTCATTGCTTCCAAACTGCCAATAGCAAATGACGTTTTGCCACAATGGAGATGAGTTTAGGATTGCATCAGCTAAAATTCCCAGCTCAAGGTGCTTTATCTTCTCTTCTGATTTATTGCACTGGTAAAGCCAATCCACGTTGAATAACCTGCCCATTTTAACCTCCAATACATTTCAAGGTATAGTTCAGAGCTAATAAACTTTCTGTGTAATGTATTTTAGAAGATAGGTTGATATCCGGCTCGTGGGCGGTTTGTAGGTGTTTGACCATTAAGGACATCACAGATTTGATCTATGTGACAATTTAGATGGGAGAAGTCCAAGTATGATTCTGTTAACCTTACCTTCCAAGGCAGCCATGCATAAAGGGGTTCCGGCCAGGTTCAGGAGACCTAGTAGATAAAGAACAAGCTTGTGGAATAAAGGAAGAGGTTGAAAGGACCATTGTGTGGGCCTTAAATGGATACAAAACTGTATCTAAGCAAAGCCCTGCTGGAAGGGTTTGATGGAACCTGCCAGGACCTCCATGTGGAAGATCAGTGACACCGGGTAAGCTTGGCATGCCTGTAGATTGATTGTTTTCTCTGCAGTGCTCTTGTCCTAAATAAATGTGTAGGCTGACTGGTCACTGGCAAACACGGTCAGACCCTGGAAGAAAGCAGAATGAATGGGGCAGGTCTAAGGTTGGACCTGCTGGGAGAAGCACGGTGCATTGCTGGGGAACGTCACCCTGGTTCAGGATAGTGAGGCAGATTCCCCTGTAGCGAGGTGATGGCTGGAGGCCAGAAACCTACAAGGGGGGTCCATGAGGAGATGACAGAGGGAGGGTTCAGAGTGCATTTAACCCAGAACTGTGACAGCCCTTCTGCACTTGTTTCTGAGTGGGCATCCAGCCCGAACCATGGACTAAAACTGGCAGAGCAAGGCCCTTGGGTAATGCTAGGTTATGTATGGGAACAAAGAGAAATCGCTTCAGCTCGTCGGCTGTGAAGAAAAGGCTGATGCAAAACAGGGTCAGGCATCTGTTTGCTTAAAGTAAATAAAAGCACAAGGAGAATTAATTCTGCTCTTTCATCCATCTTCGGAGCCATTTGAGATTCTCCACCCCCTAACGCATGAGCTGTGTCGTGCTTTTAGGCTTTGTTTTCATTGCAACAGCAGTGAACACATTTCATTTTTCTTTCTCCTGTTTCCAATATGCTTCTGGGGATTTGGAATGGAGGATTTCGAAGTCACACGCTGCACATGGCAGCAGCGTCTGTGCTGATTATCCAAGCAATTTTCATGAAATCTTCATGTCGACTTTCAGTGGTTTTGAAGATTATGGGTTTTTAACTAATGCATTGCACAAAGTGCAGGGAAGATGGACCAGGCTTCCCTGTAATCTGTGAGTAATCGGAAGTGACTCATTGACATCTGTCTCTTAGTCGGTCTTGCTTTTTGATTATTGAAAGGAAATTGGAACCTTCCCAGTCCAACTCTGCAAAGCCACCGAAAGACGCTGTTAGAATTGTCAGTAATGTGCACTTTTCGGTTGGATACTGTGCCTTCTGGCTGTGTGTGCCACTTGTCTGTGAGTGAGAGTGTGCAAGGAGGGGAAGAGCAGAAAGGAAACCTGCATGGCATGAGGATTATGCTAGTCTCATCTCAATACATGCAGTGTCCGCCAATGCTCTTCCAGGACTTGCAGGTGATGAACTGGTAGTCCAAGAGTCCCTCTGCCTATACTTAAGCTTGGGAGGATTTGCTTTTTAGCAGTAACTCCTGGTAAACATCCGTTTCTGCTGGCACATTGCAGTTGAGGAAAAATGACAGCAACAAGCAATAGTCACTGTACCTGCAGGGCTCAGCAGTCACCAGCCCTGCGGCTGTGCAGGGAAACTCAGCAGCCCTGCTGTCACACGAGAGTAGGTCCATAGCTGCAGAGTAACATGAGGATCCCTGCACTGCCTCAGGGTGCGTGACACCTGATCCCTGCCATACAAGGTGTGGGGCAGGGGGGAGGCTGTGTTCTGGTGGAGCAATCTTAAAAATAAGAAGTGATCAAAACTACGGAGGGCGGGGGTGGAGGGAGCGGATTGAATGCTGTTGAGCCTGTTTCTTCATTGAGTAGTGTCCCCGTGGATGCTCCACTGAAGGTGTTGGGCTTGTCCCGGCGCCGCAGCTCGGAACGTTTTCTCTAGCAGTAGCCCCGCCGGACCTCCTCGTGCTATTCACGCCCTTTCACGGAGCGTGGTCTGGCCCCGCCAGTTCCTCCTAACTGTCCACGGCCACAGACGGACGGCGCGAGGCGGCATCTGCACATGGGCGGTCCAGCGGGGCTACTGCTAGAGAGAACTTTCTGAGCTATGGCGCTGGAACGAGCCCGACACTTTCAGTGGAGCACCCACAGGGGGACACATCTCGAAGAACAGATGTTA